TGATGGAGGGGGAGGGGGGTGGTGCGGGGAGGGCTCTGTGAGTCCCTTCTGCGCGCGGCGCGCCTGGGGTCCCAGGGACCCCAAGACCAGAGCCTCTTCGCGCCCAGAAAGCCAGTTCAGGCCCCGGCCGAAAGGGAGAGGCTTGGGGAGGTCCGAAGGGAGGGCTGGGAAGGCGGTGGTCGCCTGAGAGGGGCGCACGGCTGGTGTCCCCGGACCCCAGGCTCACTCACTGCAGGCAGCCTGGCACACAATAAGGGCTTTGGGGTGGGGCGTGGCATCTGGCACACAGTAGGTGCTCAGTAACCATTGAGCTGGCTGATTAGGTACCATGTGACCTGAATACTTCCTGTTGTCCTTCAACACAGCCACAACTCCTTCCGCAGAGGCTGTGTCCGCCAGCTTTTGCCCTGGACCTGCTGGGTGGGGGTTCTGACTTTGGAATCCGGAGATGGAATCGCGCCTGCCTTATTCTCTTTGGGTAACTTGGGGGAAGAGGAAGGTGGGTTAATTTAATCTGTCTGGACTCAGTTTCCACAATGGTAAGTGGTATTAATAATGGAACCCTACCTTCAAGGGACCTTACAGGTATTTAAAAATCTATTCGTCAATAAAATGCTTAGAATGGAGGCGGGCACAAAGCTAAGTAAGTGCTCAGCCGTCTCTCCCTTTTCCCTTTTCCCCGACCCCCCCCCCCCATGAGTCCTGGCCTCAGGGCCTTTGCACCTGCAGCAAGAGCTCCCCCCCCCTCCCACCCCTCATGGCCTCTGCTTCAGGCCTAGCTCAGCTGTCACCACTGAGAGATCTCCATGACCACCTGCTATCCCATTGGGCACTATCACACGCCCTTTGTTCCCTTCCTGATATCTATCCTGACCTGAACGTTCCTCCTTAGCATTTATTGTCTGGCTTTCATGAGAATGGGGACCGAATCTGCCCTGTTCTCTGCAGGTCCCCAGCACCTTGATCAGTGCCTGCCACGCAGTAGGTGCGCAGTAAACACCATAGAATGGATGAGTGGAGTCGCTTCCTCTGACATGTACACTGAAGTAGTGGAACCGGATCATCTCTAAGTGCCTGCTTCTGTGGTTCAAGTCAATAAGTGAAATTGTCACCGTGGAAATAATACTTTCAAAATGAAAACACACACACAATGTTCTAAAGAGATGTAGGTTCCCAAGAAGGCTGCAGTTACTAGTAAAGACTTTCCTCGAGTCACCATCTTTCTATCCTGACCAGTTTTGCCCATGCGTCCAGAGCCAACCTCTCTGAGCTCTCCCGATGGCTCCCTGGGAGCTGATGGAAGACCCTCTGGATTTCCTCCCTAATTGAGGGCCCAGGACCCCCCTAGACATCCACACGACAGCACAGCAATGCCCACCTCTATGCCCTTCCCTGTCCCCAGCCCCCTCCGGTGACGACATCCTGTGACAGTGGCCTTTGTCCTCAGTTTCCCAGGCCAGAGCTTCCCTGCTCCTTTGATTTCCCTTCTTGGCATTAATCACAGGTTCGCACCTGCTTTTCCTTCTCCTCAGAGCCAGCTGCTTCCGACTGGCTCCCGACTGGCTCCCGCTGGGCTTGCCAGACCATCCGATGGAGCCGGAGAGGCTGGGTGGGGCTGCCCCAGCGGCTCAGCTCCTGCTGGGGAGATGAGTCAACTGGCGAGGGGCACTGTGTCTCCCTGCCCCGTGGAGCCAGGCACAGGGTATTTTTGGAAGGCCTGGCCTGGCTGCCCATCTCACGCTATTTATTTACTCAGTGAGGTCACTAGCAACAATGAGTATCTGGGACACGGAGACCATCCTTGGTGGCCCACTCCTGTTCTGGGGTCCTACCTTTAGGAGAGCATTTGGAGAAGACCTCTGGCCATCAGGAGAACAAGCAATAAAAATACGCAAGTCGTTCATGGATCCCCAACCAGTTGCCTTAGCGCCATTGGATGAGGCACAGTGATGGTGCCCGGGACAGACCTACAATAACAGCTAACATTGTTCAGTGCTTCCCGGGCGCCAGCAACCGCTCTTGGTGTTTCATGCGTATTACATCACTTAAGGACATGCTCTATGAAATAGGTCCTATTGTCATCTCCTTTTATGCAGGAAATGGACTCAGAAAGACACGGAGCTTGCCAAGGTTACACAGCCAGGAAGTGACAGGGTCTGGACTTGGACCCAGAGCCTACACATTCTAACCGCCGCTCAGCATTGTTCCTGTCTTAGTCTGCAACCTGGAAAAGATGCCGCCTCGGCTCCCCGGGCACACAGCAGCAGAAGCAAACAGAGAAGGTAGGTGTACAAGGCATCGGTAGTGACATATAGTGGTTCTTACTGTACACCAGGCCCTGTTCTAATTGATTTACCCATTCATTAGCGCTTGAGATCCTCACAGCCCCCTAGGAGGTTGGAAGTAATGCATCTCCATCTTATAGATAAGACATGTGTCCAGCTGGTCCAGGGTCTCAGGGCTGGTTAGTGGCAGAGCTGGGATTGGAACCCACAGAGCCTCACTCCAGGGCCCAGGCTGTGTAAGGCCTCTGCCTGATAGCACTGGTACCCATGTCCAGTCCTCAGGCACCCAAGAGTGCTGAGCCCCCTGGTGTGACCCACACACCCTGTGCCTGGAGCCTCAGGGCTGCTGCTCATGCACTGAAACCCTGGGGGAGTCTCCATTTCCTTATCTGTAAAATGGGCGTAATGAGGCCAGCTCTCCCTGCCTCCCAGGAAGACCATGTGAACTGCTGACCTCGGAAACACTCTGTGTGGCTTTTGCTGGGTGCTGGTCTGTGCTGGGCACCATGGGGGACAGGTGACTGACCCACCTTAAAGATCGGGGCGCACGGCCCATGAAAAATGAAGAGGTGATTATTTTCATTGCAAAACAAACAGCTATAAATGAAGTGTCTTATTTGATGATGCAGACGATTAGAGAATTAAGTCTTATGTCAAGAGGATTGTATGCAAAGGCCCCTGGGCCAACATTTAGATGGCTGCGTGCTAGGCTTGGTGCTTGGTGTCCTGTGTGCTCAACCTCAATGGGCAGCCCTGGAGGTGAGACAGACATGCACCCATTTTACAGGCTGAGAAACTGAGAGGCTAATGAATGGGGGAGCTGGGCTCCGAGGCAAGTGCAGCTGACTCTAGTCCTGGCCTCTTGGCTGCAGCTCTGCAGGGGCCTGCCGCACACCTGGTGTGTGGGGCTGCCTCCTCTCTTCCAGTTCTGACTTTGTGGCTCTAAGTGCACCTTTGTCTGAGTGTCCCCCGCCCTTGACCTTGGTACTTTTATATCCTTCACCCCGCCTCAGTCTTGGGCACAGGATACTTCTGTGTTGAGTGACTGAGGGTGATTCTGCACCCCCTCCACCCACCCACTCACCCACCAGCTTGCTGCTTTTAAGAGCTTGAAGTCAACACCTGGGCCTTGTATAAGGCGCAGGGCAAGGAGACATGCCCCCTCTACCCCCCAGTCCCTCACCTGGGTGAAGCAGCACTTCCACAAGCCAGGGTGGCATGAACACAGACCATGTTGTCTTGGTTCCCCTTCACGGTCACCCCAGGCCTGCTTCTGGCCCCAGTAGCTGCATTTATTTTGGCTTAAATGACAGAGTGTTCAGAGATAGTAAACATCTGCCTTCATGAAGCCATATCAGGTCATTGAATGGGGTTGTGAAGGGGCTGTCACCTGCCCATGGGCTTGTAGCGCCCAACCTCATGGGCTGGTGGGCTCTGCCACGGTGGTCCCGGGTTACAAGTGGCTGGTGACTCTATGGTGTGCCAACAAGGCTTTGGGAGGAGTCCTGCCCTCAGACCATGACTCCTGAGCAGGAAGGTCAGCCGAGGCTGCACGTGGGGGCATGAAGATGAGGGAGACACATTCCCTCTTTGCCTTGAACTCAAGGGGTAGCCGAGGGGCAACTTCATGCTGAATGCAGGCATGCATGGGAGGGAGCGGATGCTTCTGAGCTGGCACAACCCTGGGACAGAGTCACTGTTCTCCACCTACTAGCTGTGGGGCCATGGGCAGATTATGTACCTTCTCTGTGCTTCCATTCCTCATCCATAAAGCTGAGCTAATAGCTGGATGTAGCTCATGGGAAGACTACATTTCCCAACCTTCTTTGCAGTCATGAGCCCCATGTGACTGAGTTCTGACCAATGGAATGTGGCAGGAGTAATGTATGCTACTCGGCCTGGCCCCTAAAATTTCTTGTAAGATCTTTTATACTCATTTTCTCCTCCGCCTGCCGACTGAATGTCAATGCTCAGGGTGATGAAGATGTGGAGGCTCTGCCAGCAGAACCCTGCTCTTTGTTGACTGTTCCCTATCGACCTGCCTTGGGCTTAGTTGTTACTGCAGCTAGCAGTTAGCCTATCAGACTAATAGAACAGCTAGTCTGCTCAGTTTCAGGCTTTCTGTTATTTTATTACATTCTTCTTCCTAATGCTACGAGGTGGTTTTTAAGCAGCCCATGTTCCAGGTGAGGAAGTGGTGGTGTAGAGATGTCTGGCCCAGGGTGCCAGAGCTCCGTGAGATGGCGTGGAGAGGCCAACTGGGGGTCAATTCAATGGCAATAACAGCTAACTCTTCCTGAGCTCTCTGTGTTTGCTAGAGACCATGAATCCAAAGTATTGGGGTGAATTAATTATTTCATTTAATTTTGATAATTGCCCTATAGAGTGGAGGTTACTATTATTTCTGTTTTACAGATGAGAAAACTAAGGGTCAGTGAGGTGAACTAACTCCTCTTCCCAAGATTTCATGGGTGAAAGAGGTGGTGCCTGGGTTTGTACTGAAGTCTCTTCCTTTAGAGCTTGTGTTTGCAGAGCCCCCTCCCACCCCTCAGAAGGTGCAATAGGGACCAGCTAATTCCTCGTGCAGGGGCCTGGCTTTTGGTGGGGAGCCACCCTGTGGCCGGTCGGGTTGACAGCCTTCTTGGGTCAACACCTACCATGTGCAAAGTCTGACCCTACGCCCTGCTCTGAGGCCCAGAGTATTCCAAGGTTGGCACGCTGGTGAAGAAGAGAGCCATGTGGCTACCCCTGCAGCCTGAATGAGTCAGGACTGTGGCACCGGGGATGCTGCAAACCTCAGAGGAGAAAGAGGGCACCCAGGTAGAGGCAGGACCAGCTTTCCCCGGGAAGAGGAATTGCCATGAACCGTGTCTACCTGGATTGGAATCCCAGCCAGCTGAGCGGCCTTGGGGAAGTTACCTAACTTCTCTGAACCTCAGCTTAGCCATGTGTAAAATGGAGATAGTAAAGGTCCATAGCTTATAGGAGTATCATGAGGATGAAATGATAACTTGTAAAGTGCTTGGGGCATCAGAAGCTCTATATTATATACTTACTTTCTCTTTTCATTACCAAGGGCTGGTGGACTTTCGATAGAAGAGAAGGGAGGCATAATGCATTGAGTGAATGCCATGAGCAAAGCTTGGGAGTTGAGAACACAGAGGGTGTTTTTTTGAGAACAATGAGTAGCTCAGTGTGGCCGGTTCGTAGGCGAGCAATGGAAGATGAGGCTAGAAAGAGAGGCGGGGACCAGGTTGATGAGTATATACTTAACTCAGCAGGCAATGGGGAGCCATTGATGTCTTTGGAGCAGGGCAGTGTCGTAGCCAGAGCTGGATTTTAGAAAGATCCCCTTGGCCACAGTGCAAGATGGACTGGAACGGGAGTTATGGGAAATGCCCAGTGGAAAGCTGTTGTCATTGGCCAGGGGAGAAGGTGGTGGCAGCAGACAGGCAGAAAGCACGAATTGGCACTCACGGCAGGGGAGGTCCTGTGGGGCTTGGCGGGCTGTTAACTGTGGGCAGCATGGGGCCTGCGCTACATGCACCCTTGGCCAGGGCCAGGCGTGCAGTGGTGCCCATGCAGGTCCAAGTGCGTGGCTGGGAACCCAGAGCAGGGCTTCCCTTTGCAGGCCCAGGCGTGGGATGTGGTCCCTCTGGGCATCACATCATCACTGGTATGTTAGTGCCAAGAAAGAGACAAAAGACGAATGAGGGACGAGCCTCCCTGGTCCCGAGAACTCAGGGCGCCTGGTGTCCTCAGGGTAAGCTCTTTGGTGGCGAAAGCAGGTTCCAGAAGGCTCACTTGGGAGGGAAAAGGGAGGCTGCCTTTAAGGGCGGGGGGCATGGGCGGGTTCATCTAGGTTTTTGCAAAGCAAAGCAGACCGGTGAGAGCTGCCTGTCTGAGGCGTGTTTTATCTTAACCTTTCCGTGTAATCCTGAAAGCCCACCTAATCAATTGAAGATCATAAAATATTAGACTTAATGCTGCAAAGTGCTGCTTTTTAATTCACATAACAAGCTCCTAAATAATTCAAATAGCAAACAGACCCGGCAAGTCAATGGTGGGAGGCTGCTTGGATCAGCGGGAGAGTGTCAACACATGCCACATTTCCCGGATCGACTCATTTCAAGAACCCTATTAAGTTAATTGCCGGTTTCTGACAGCAGAGAGCATGCTGGGAGCACAGCAAGCTTTATTAGCCTCCGTGGCATCTGCAGACATCAGCCATTTTGCCCCTACTTGCAGGCACTGGGAGCAGCACAGAGAAAAGCAAATCAAATTACGAGACAATAAATGCTTTTGGCAACACGTGGGCGTCACGTTCGTCGGCGAATCCAAAAGGGTTCGAGTGTCCATTGTGGGCCCATTAAATTTTTTAATAGCAGCCCCGTCTATGTGTTGCAAAAGTCTTACAGGAGGCCACCGGGCAGTTACATCATTTGACACTGCGTGGCTGATGCAGGCAAACATTAGTGCAAAGGAGAGTACCCTCGTCTCCTAAAGAAACTACTGGGCGGAGTCTTTAATGGAACGGGAGTTGGGATGGACATTTAGAGAGGCCCCCAATAGTCCAGGTACCCCAAATAGCCCAAATGCTACACATTCAGGTGTGTGAGCAGACCTCTGGATTTGAAAACTCAATGGAGACACTGCACATGGTTCTGAAGATGGTCAGGGAAGGGAAGAGGTGAAGTCAAGGTCCCCAACCTCCTATCCATCCAGAGGTTCCCAAACAGGGCATTGTTTCATGCCTACCTGCCCTTCCCTTGGTCACCCTGGTATATATTAAGTTTGGGGCCAGGCAGGGTCATCCTGGCAGCTTGGAGACCTACCCACGGGTACCACTCTGCAGAACGGGGCTCTGATCTACCCAATGCCCACCGTGGACACACGGGAAACACAAGCAGAGGGAGGTTCTGCGACTGCTCCAAGGCCGCACAGCCAGCCCGTGGCGGTTGTTGCTCAGACAAAGTTCTGTTCTGTTGCCTGGCACC